GATATTGGTTTACTCTTACGTAGTGTATTGGAAAGGTTCCAAACCGGAAATAATCGTTAATTCAATAGTGGAAGCCTTGTACATCATTGCTTTGGAAAGCAACAGAAGTTTTTGTCTGGATCAGGAAGTTCATTAATGAACTTAGAGTAGTTTTTAACATTGTTGATCACGCGTTTCTGTATTGTGATAACAATGGAGCCATCGTGCAAGCGAAGGAACTAGGGTCCCATCAATGATCCATACATATGTTAAGGCGGTATTATCTCGTTGAAAAGATAATACAATGACATGACGTAGAGAAATATACAAATTACATATAACTGAATCTTAAATTGCCTATGGTCGAGATAAAAACAAGACAAGTATATCTTTATTACAGATAGACCATCACGTGTAGCATTCTTACTTGTGAAGTAAGTAGATGATCTCACAAGCTAAAGTGTGGTGACTCTTAAATGAACACGTGGATGTTTTGTTATAGAACAAAACATTGGAGACTCGCTGGGAGATTTCACATAGATAATTATCTGAGTGTTAGTGGTTAGTCTCTAACGTTCGGTAGTGAAATTGGTCATTTGATTTGGGGTCATCATTCTACCTTATATGAGGACGATCATACTTTGGTAGTGTTGGATATTACTCTACCAAGAGTCGCTAATACAGTATCGTTCGGGTATGTCAAGAATTATATGAAGGTTGTAAATGATCGATAGAGGATTCGTCACTCTTAGCTAGTAAGAGATTATGATCTACATTTTATTCAGTTAAGTTCATAATGAAATCATTGGCCAAGGTGAACTCATAAGTCGAAAAGGAGTTTTCGATTTATATTGACTTAACAGTAGGATAAAAGATATGATCAATAATTGAGATTAACACATATCCATATCTCATAATTGATCGGATCATTTTGACGGAAGGATTATAGTTTTACGGTAAACAAAGAAGTTTGGTTTTGTCATATCACATGACATTTCTCATCACATGTATCGCCTGACACATTGCTAGATGTCAATTTGAGACGACGAATGTGAATTAGTAATAAATTAAAATGAGTGTTTTAATTTATCGATTTTGATTAGATCAAAATAATAATTCACGTCATTAGATATCGTGATTGAGAACATAATGTGTCACACGCAAAAAAGAACCAGAAGAATGAAATTTATCAATTAATTAATTGACAAGTGTTGGATAATTAATTAATTTGGTTGCTTATTAATAGGCCCGAATTAATTAATTCATGGACTAGATTTGATTAATTTGATTAATTAAATATTGGATCGGGTTAAGTTTAGAGACGGACCAAGCCCGCTTAGGCTTATATTAATAGGCTGCTAGAATTTGAATATTGAATGGAATTTTCATTATTCTTGCTAGTATAAGAAAAGAAAACTCTAGCCGTCATTCTTGTTCTCTGTGTAAATCACCATTGAAAACTGGACAATTGGACAGCTTGGATTACAGATCGTGATAATTGGAGTTCGAGAATCAGCATAGGAGTTTACAGAATCAATCAAATGTATTATTCTAAACACAATTTCTATCTAAACACAAAGTAGATTCGTTGTGGGAATTGAAATTTGATTTATTTTCTGCTGTGTAGATAAGTAAATTCCCAACAACAAGGACTTAGAAATATGCTGATAAGGTAAGAAAATGGACAGAAAGTGTAGCGATTAGGCGCTAAAGCAGAAAAATGGCAGAATAGGTAGTGCCTAGGCGCCACATTACAAGCTCCTGGGCGCCGCAGCAAACATAATCTGGCGCCTCAACACTACTTACGCAACGTCGACACTACATCTGGATGGGTTAAATTAATCCCAAAAAGTCCAATTAACCCTAACTCGAGATGGACATTGAGGAGGCCATAAATAGAACCTTTAGGAGGATTTTGAAGGACTCTTCGATGATGACTAATCCAGAGATGAAAGAAATTGAAGGAAGAGACGACGAGTTTAATTCGATTCGAAAATATTTTTTTTTTTTCTCTTTTTCTCTCCCATGTTTATGATTATGAACTTAAGTTTATTTTCCAATCATGAACTAAGTCAATTACCTAAGGGTTTGATGTAATCTATATTTGATACTATCTTGAGTTTCAATACATCGCTTTGAAATTATATTCTAAGTTTATTTGTGTTAATCCGCTTTTAATGCTTTTAATTAACTGGCCATTAATTAATTGATTTGTTATTTAAGATTCGACACTCGTGAAAGGAAATTTTAGATGTGATCATAGAACAAAAAAATCTAGGATTTTATAGGTTTAAAGAGAAAAACATAAATCATTTGAAACTTTTTACAAAGAACCATAGAATTTAGTGAATTCTTATATTCTTGGTTTGGGACAGAGATATTGAAATCAGAATCTAAGAATAATTTCCACTTGACGCTCGAGAGATGGAGTAGAAATATAATAGGATTCATTGCTTGTAAACTAGAAAAACCAATTGGAGATGAATAGAGAATTAAAACACATAGTTGATGGTTAGATGAAATCAAAATCCTAGGTTCTTCTCATCTTGTTTACTCTTTAAGATTCGGCATTCTATCACTGATTTAGTTAAAATTTCTAATTAAATCTATAGTTAAATTCCAGTGATCCTATTAAATCAATTGTCTAGATAAGGTAAGGGTTATTTTAATTATAGTACTTAATAGAAATTTAATTATCAATCCATATGAATTCGACATCCTAATTCATCATTATATTATAATTTTGACACCATGTGCTTGCAGTATAATTTTGTTTACAGGCCATTGCATTGTTGCATAACCTCTCAATTTGAATATTATTTGTAGTGTTGATTGGTTAGTTTCCGAGTATTTTTAGGGTTTGAATCAGGTTGAGGTGGTAAAGAACTGACTGGTGGTGACAGTGGACTACATGGTGATGGTGATGGTGGTGGTGACTAGGGGGTTAAGGTGGGTCGGGTGCTATAAGGAAGATAATGGAATTTGGGTCTGATTTCACGTTAGTATCAATCACATAATTGTACTTCAATTTTGTTATTTGAATAACTACACTTAAATTCAATTTTAATCGAGAAACTTGACTTTAACACGATTTTAATCAGGTGACTACACTTTAGTTTGATGAATTCTTGATCGTGGACATAGAAGAAAATAGCAAGGTGTTGTTGATATGACACCAATGGCACCTTCCGAATTTGAAAATTGCTTCCCAAGGATACAAGACACTAATTAATAGACTTAACTTCGATGTAAGACATGACACATTGAGCATATAAGGAAGTCTCTCATGTAACTTGCATAGAGATGACACATTGAGGATACGAGGAAGTATCTCACATAACTTGCATAGAGTTAGGCAGGGTCTTGATCTCGAAATCAATTTTATATTACGAACAATCCCTCATTGATTTTGTTGTAGAGCTCGCTCATTTTCTAGAAGCAATGTTGTCTGACGAACACGTGGAAATTATACTTTGATGGGTCTTTTGGAGAATCAGATGTTGGGGCGAGTATCTTGCTCATAAGCCTTAAAGGAAAAAATCTCAATTGAACACTTTGCTTCGACTTCAAGGCGTCGAACACTGTCCTCGAAAACGAGAATTTTAAATATTCAACAGATTCTTGGTATTGTACACAATTGTGAGTGAGAAGTTCAAAAAATTAAAGTAAAACATTGAAATCCATGGACTAAGAGTCAGTTTGGCATGACTTTTGATGAGCCAAAAGAAGCTTTTACAGCTTCCTTCATTACTCTCAAAACTTCTTCATAGTGACTTCCTCCATGTCTCAATTCAGAGGAAACTTCAAGTAGCTCTTAATTCATTATATTCGATCCATATCCCAATTCCATTCATTTAAAACCTCTTNCCATATCCCAATTCCATTCATTTAAAACCTCTTTGGTGCCATTAACATAACAAATATCGCTAAACAGGTGTTTGGATGCCGGAGATAAAATGTATTGATAGTTCAAATGATTTGGCGGGTATTGTTTATACTCTTTAACCATTATTTGCTTTATTGGCATTACAACAGAATATACATATTTTGTAATGATAAAATGAAAATTAAAATTTAAAAACTTTTATTAAGCTAACATGACTGTTTTCAAAATTCGATACGACGATAACCTTAAAAAATGTTGTATCTTGACAATGACAATCAAGTTCGAAGTACGGCAGTTGTGGAGAAGTTTAAAAGGATGAAACTTAACTTGATACGTTCGAGTCATAGAAATCTTTAAGAAGGTTGCAACTTCCTCAAATTATTTAGAAGATAATCATCAAAAAAATGTGTAAAAATATAAAAATAAACATTTTCCTCCCCACTGAATTTAGAAGATTATATATAATTGATATTATAAAAAAGTTTATCAAAACTATTTTTGAATAATCTCATGAAATGTCCAATTTAATATCCACTACGATTTTTTTATTTTGCGTAATGAATGTGTATAACGTTTTTAAATATAAAAAATAATAACTACAACTTAAATCTTTCAGATGCTCATTAAAAAATATCGTTTCAAATAAAACAAATATTTTTTATTAATCAAACAAGTTCGACTTAGTCCTTGTTTGGTTCCTATTATAAATTATTTATGGTTGGTCGAAATTTTCATTCGAATATTCCACGGGATGTACAACAACTATTTACTTAATACACCGATTTTCCTTTTCTTATTTTGACTTTTTAAAATAAAAGAAAAATGAAAAATGAAAAAAATTAGAGGTGCGCATTGGCACACAGTAGTAACAGAACACCCGCACCCAATCCACACAAAATATATTAGTTTTTTATTTTTCTGAAAAACATTTATTTATTATTTAATTTTTAGAATAAAAATATCTCTGGTTCCTCTCTAGAGACTTTGATCCCTCTCCTCCGCCATTTTCGATCACAATTGCCGTCAGAAAAAAATCCATGTATACAGACATATAGATACTATAACATATTTATATATAGAGAGAGAATTTTAAACAGGAAAGGAGAGAGAAAGATTCATCACTCTTGGAAAGGAGATGGCTTTACGACGCCTTCTCACAGAGGTCAGTTTCAATCTTCATTAGTAAAAATTAAATTCTTTCATGCATAATGTTTCTGATGTTGTTTAAGATTTTTTATTCGTCTATTCTTCTTATTATGGACCTGTGTTGGGCGGTTATTTTTTTCCCGTTCTTAGTGATTTCGAAAACTCTAATTTTAGTTTTTGTCTAATGGATTTTATTGATATATATCTGATGAATTATTAGTTTCTACGTGTTAGTTTTCCATTCATGTGGTGAGTGTAGCTTCAGTAGAACTTGTGGTAGTCTTATTTTAAGGGTTTTTTTTAGGTAATATATTTAATTGAATAATTAACTGGATATAATTGCTAAATATTTGATATTTTCTTGAGATTGGTGAAAGATTGCATTTTTATGATTTAAGCTGCTCCATTTGCTTTGTGTTGCTAATTTTCCTACCTGTTTCCTCCTTATTTCTGCACATAACTTTGGGGTTTGATTAATTCTGTCGTGTTGTTCATGAAATAAAGATGTTGGGAGGTGCCTCAATTCTTGATTGAGTTTTAGTTTATTTTAGCCTCCAGATTTCATTGAATCATCTATTTAGAAATAGGTGAATATGGGATTGATTGTGGAACCAAGCATATCTAATCCATGGTGAGCACTAAGATATGCTAGGCAGAGTAGCTTACATTTCATTTCATGCCAAGTGTAAATGTTTTTCACCAGTTTTCTTATTGGCTTATGCTTTTTTGTCGCTACTATAGGTCAAAAGGCAGGAACCACAACTGAAGCTGTTAAGCAATTTGGTAAGCCAAGCTTATCGCACTTCATGGACGGCTAAAGGAGGTGGAGGTATACCATAATGTTTAGTTAGCCATGAATCTGCTTCAAACTCAACGTTGATGTATTTATTTTAAATATTTTGAGATGGCTTGTTCTCCAATATCTTTGTATGAACTCGCTTCTTTTCATCTATTGTTGTGAGGTGAAGGTAGACATTACTAGATCAAAATACATTTCATGGGCAAATTCATTTCAATTTTAGATTATTTCATTCTTGTTAATTTCTTTTCTGTAATATATTCATTCTTGTTCATTTCTTTTCTGTAATATTAGGGGTACTTATTTTGTTATTCTTGACGTTAGAATGGATTTAGACTTTCCAATTACTACTTGAACTTGCTTTGCTAAAATACCTGCAAAACAATACCCGGCCAATAAGTTTGGCCTCCTAGGGAGGAGATGGCAAGACTCACTTTGATGATAGTCACAGTACGGAGGTATATGATTTTCTTGGTTAAGTTTCAATTACTTCCAAAGTGAGATGGCATAGGGGTTTATATGGGGAAGTAAAATGAGGGCAGTAGGTGGAGTTGTTGCATCCACCATTCATGGTAGGTGAAAATTGGCAGGGAGCTAGCAATTGAATAATGTGTCCGGCATGCGATGTTACTTCCTTGATTTCAGGGATATGGCCATGTTGTAGTAGGTGCTTTTGGAAGAGATTGGCGAGATAGTCACTGTTGATCGGGTGAGACCAAAGTTTGACATGAAGATCGAGGAAGTGCCTGCAGAACCTTTGGCTTGATTGTCTGCTGACTGAGGAGGTCCTTGGCCTTCAGTTGGCTGATGATAAACATAGTCTGCACTCTGCACTAGTTCATCTTGGGCGGACCCACTCTTGTACCACGTATTTGCCAAGTGGGACCAGGGATAACAGTCATAATCCATATCACTTATATTAGCTGCAAACCTTTCACTGTTATAGCCAGCAATGCTTATTATGGCTTACAAATCTCATCACATATTAGTGCAACATGATAATTGTGATGATAATTTAATAGTTCAATTTGTAGTTCAACCTTGTCACGCTAATGAACTTATAGTGTTATAATTGTTACTTGTATTCTTGGAGTGTAGCTCAAGAAAGCATTGTAGTTCACTTGGGAAGTGTGAACATTTTCCTGAAGCTACAGAGCACATTTCTAACTCGTGTGGGATGACATGCTGCACATTTCGGACGTGTGAGTTCATCTTGGAACTGAACATGCTCAAGCATGTCCCTAACGCTCAGGGATGCACCCTCAGAATGTCTCCTTCATATTGCTAATTTTTGACACACTAAGGACATTTGGTATGTGCTAGGCAACTTTGAGAACATGATGTGCTGCGAATTCTTAAACACTACTTTTAAGAATGAAGATATAATTAAAGGAAGAATGAAGATATAATTAAAGGAAGAGGGTTAATTACCAAAAAGCACAAATTTTGGCCATGCAGAAAATTATTTACACTGCCATTCAGAATTCATTCCCTGGTGCAGTGGCTTGACCATGCGGAAAATTATTTATATGTCGTTTACTCGTATAATTTTAAATAGATATATGATGAAAAATAATTATTCATTCAACATGCCACGAGTGAATTGCATTTTATATTAAAGAATGTTGTTTCTATATCTTCTACCTGTGTCTATGCTTCATAGGAATCAGCTCTTATTTAAAGAAAACAAATCGATCATACTTCCCTTCTGGTGTTAGTTTACCTTCTCTAAGCAACTTCTCTCCCTCTTGGGCATCTGCAATCTCACCAAATCTTTTAGTTTACAGACTGATGATTTACAATGAATTATCTAAACACTAGTGAAATCAGCCATTAGGGACGTTGTTTTGCATTTCATAGCTTTAAGATATTTCTAACTGCAACCAGGGCAGTGGCTAATGATCTCCCTCTGAATATTTTGAAACTAAGCTTTAATTCAGCTCAACTGCTTCCTGATCAGTGTTACACTGGAAGCATCTTGAATCTGCTGCAAAAATCTTATTCAATTATTCTTATCTCCTCATGATTCAGAATGTAGAATTATAGCCTCCCAATGTTTGTCGTTCTTTACATCTCGTCTTTTGCAGGGCAAAAACTTGCGAGCACTCCAGGAACAAGCTCTACGGGAAGGTGTCATTCAAGTTATGTTGGTAGTCTAGCTCGTAGAGTACGTGATAGTGATGAGTTAAGTGATGCTGCATATCTTATGGAGCTTAATCATCGAAATGATCCAGAGGCAGTCATAAGGTTGTTTGAGAATCAACCTTCACTACACTCTAACCCTTCAGCTCTTTCTGAATATGTTAAGGCTCTGGTTAAGGTTGATAGGCTTAATGAGGCAGAGCTGCTCAAGACGTTGCACAGAGGTAAGATTAATAGTAGATTCATTCACGGCCTTCATACTCTGTTTCATAACCTGCCCACTTTGGAAGAGCTTCAGCAAGCAAGCATGCTCCTTTTCCCTCACTGAAGCTTCATTCTGCTGCAAAGATTTATAGTTTAAAGCATGTTTAACAAGACATATTTATAGGAATCTCAGGAGCTGCGAACTCACACGTGGAGGAAGAAAGTGTAGGAGCACTTTCAGCATTTCGAAATGTGGGAAAATCTACTAAAGATGGAGTTCTTGGTACTGCCAGTGCTCCTATACACATGGTGGCTGCTGAAGGGGGTCATTTCAAAGAACAGATATGGCGAACATTTCGCGCTCTGGGTATGGCTTTTCTTTTGATTTCAGGTGTTGGAACACTCATTGAAGATAGAGGAATCGGTAAAGGTATTAATATCTTGTGATACTTATGGTGTTTATGCTATCCAGTTTGTTGGATTTTGCTCATCGGATTTCTCATTGTACTTCATCAGGACTTGGTCTACATGAAGAAGTGCAGCCGAGTATGGAATCCAATACAAAGTTTAGTGATGTCAAGGGAGTTGATGAGGCAAAATCTGATCTGGAAGAAATTGTTCACTACCTCCGTGATCCTAAGGTGACTGCATCTTGGGATGATTTTTATAAACCTATCTTGATCTCTCTCCCCAAAAAGAACAAAATTCTGCTGTATCAGTGAGTTGGTATTTTGATGGGGACTTGTCATGTTCTTTAAGGTTCTATTGTTGGACTTTCTTACCCATGGAGTATATAGGTTTCTTACTGTAGCTATCTTGTCATTACAGCGCTTCACACGTCTTGGTGGTAAGCTTCCAAAAGGTGTGCTACTTGTTGGACCCCCTGGCACTGGTAAGACAATGTTGGCTAGGGCCATAGCAGGAGAAGCTGGGGTGCCCTTTTTCTCTTGCAGTGGAAGTGAATTTGAGGAGATGTTTGTTGGTGTTGGGGCCCGCAGAGTGAGAGATCTTTTTTCTGCTGCAAAGAAAAGGTCACCATGTATAATTTTCATTGACGAGATTGATGCCATAGGGGGGAGTCGCAACCCGAAGGATCAGCAATACATGAAAATGACTTTAAATCAGTTGCTTGTTGAGCTAGACGGCTTCAAACAGAATGAGGGAATTATTGTGATTGCTGCAACTAATTTTCCAGAGTCGCTGGATAAGGCACTGGTGAGACCTGGTCGGTTTGATCGTAACATTGTTGTCCCAAATCCTGATGTTGAAGGTCGGAGGCAGATCTTGGAATCCCATATGTCTAAGGTATGTATCTATATGGAGACACTTGCAGGGTCTTATGTTTTATATAGGTATCTATCTGTAATGTGAATTTAGTGGAACACAATGTGTCTCTTTGATATCAATTTTCATGATTTTTTTTATAATTGAAGATGGTCTCATCTCTCTAAATGACCACCTTTATTTAGCTTAACCCTATTATCATATCTCTAAATAACCACCTTTGTTTAAATAAACCATTTAAAAAACAAAAGAAATTACATGACTTGGATAATGTAAAGTAGATTTCATTATCTATTTGTTTTTCAATAACTGGTATATGGTTCTCTAAATTGAAGTATTTAAATTTTGTTGGTTGGCAAATGCATCAAATTGCCCCTATTAACCATTACGAATGACCTTCATCTTTAATTATCTTTGAACGTGTGGAATAAATCTAAGGATGTCCACAAAGAAACAGGGTGTTAGTCGGAGCTTGGATGAGATTATTTGTTGAATTAGCCTTTCATGGGTACGGGAGCTTGGTTTCCTTAGTTGATGCAAGTGCTCCTGCAGGAGTCCTCAAGTTAGGACTGTTTGTTTGTTCCAGTAGTAGGTGGTTCCAAAATATTTATAGGAAAATTTTGATAATCTTCTCTCCCGTCGTCTATTGTGCATATTGTAATACATCCATTGTTTATGTAGATCCTCTTTTTAATCTTTTTTAATCGTTACTTGAATGTCATTTGACAGGTTCTTAGGGCAGATGATGTTGATCTTATGATTGTTGCTCGAGGAACTCCTGGTTTTTCCGGTGCTGATCTTGCAAACTTGGTCAATGTTGCTGCGCTCAAGGCTGCAATGGACGGTGCCAAAGCAGTGAGTATGGCTGATCTTGAACATGCTAAGGACAAAATCATGATGGGAAGTGAGCGCAAATCAGCTGTTATATCAGAGGAATCGCGAAAGCTGACTGCTTACCACGAGGGTGGCCATGCTCTTGTAGCAATACATACTGATGGAGCGTTGCCAGTGCATAAAGCAACCATTGTTCCACGAGGTATGTCTCTCGGAATGGTTGCTCAGTTACCCGACAAGGATGAGACGAGTATATCACGTAAGCAGATGCTTGCTCGTCTCGATGTTTGCATGGGTGGGAGAGTTGCAGAAGAGCTCATCTTTGGAGAGAATGAAGTGACTTCAGGTGCATCGAGTGATCTCCAGCAAGCAACCGATCTTGCAAGAGCAATGGTTACCAAGTATGGCATGGGCAAACAAGTCGGGGTTGTTACTCACAATTACAATGATAACGGTAAGAGCATGAGCACCGCAACTAGGCTCCAAATCGAAAAGGAAGTGAAAGAATTCTTGGAAACAGCATATGCCAACGCCAAAGCCATTCTCATCTCACATAGTAAAGAACACCATGCTCTAGCCAATGCTTTGCTCGAGCACGAGACACTTACAGGAAGTCAGATCAAGGCCCTACTTGCCGAGGTAAACTCTCAGCAAACACAGCAGCAGCAACAGATAGTTGCTACACAACGTAATTCACAATCCAGTGCCATTACTCCCTCAACGCCTAATCCAGCAGCATCTGCAGCTGCTGCAGCAGCGGCTGCTGCAACTACCGCAGCCAAATCAAAAGGAATTGCCGCAGTTGGATCGTAGGGAAAAAATGGTAATGGTGGTTTGCAGTTGAGGAAAAAGATGTCCCATGGAGAATTTCAACCTACCGACGCTGGTAAGATGTGCCTACTGTTTATTAAATTACTCCAAGGTGCCATACGATTAGTTACTCACGTGCATTCCTTTCTTCTTTGAGAAACAACTGGAGTTGAGATTGTTGCCAATGTGTTCATTTTTACGCTAGTGAATGGAAGTTGTAGAATACGTGTATGACCTTAAATTCTCAATGAAAGATGTAGTAGTGATGCTGAATAAAGTCTCTTGGACAAATTTTTGCCGTCTCGTCGAGTTAATTTGGCCATACAATTAACAGTGTTAACTGGAGCCTTCTTTATAGAGCTTTCTTTACATTTTGTTCACACTTTTTTCCTCAAGCTGGAATTTCTTTCAATGTGGTCGGAGTCGGACTACTACATTGCTGTTTTCAGTAAATTTTATTCCCCTTGGATATGCTTTAATCAAACATTGGTTCATTGCTGCTTGGGATGGCATGATGTTAATGTTTTTTTGGCTTTGCGCTTCCATTTGCTTCTAACCATCCCTGCTAGTCTTGATTAGGATTAGCTCATCGATAATATAGATTTTTTTTTTTTTGGACTAATTATTGACAGTCAAAAAGCAGTCAAAAACTAACACGGTTGGTAGAATTGGTTTTGAATAGTAATATATATTTGGTCACGATGTCTTTATTAACCAACTTGTCGAAAATGTCAATTGACCTAGAAGCCTTAGGTTTTGTTACAGAAGTTAAAATTCTAGGCACTACAATAAAGGATTTTTCCAAAGGATATGAAATATATAACATATTAGAGCATTTTTAATGGTTGTGTAAAATAGAGATTTAGATTTCTAAAATGATCGGAAACCTCTCAAATGGAGAGATGTAAAGGTGATGCAAATTGCATTTTTCGGTAAAAAATGATTTAAAAATATAACTTTGCATCTTTTTTTTTACATCCAAAAGAGATAAAAGTGGATTTGGATATTTTCATTGGAGCAGAATTTGAATTTAGAATCGTCAAGATGTAAATGAGGATGTAAAAAGTAATTTTGAAGATATTAATTTACATCCAATTTTACACCACCTTGTCTCCACATTTGAATTAATTCTTTTTGGGATAAGAATGTGAATTATATGGGATGTTAGATTTTTAACTAATTAAAAGACCTTCCAACAACTACCTATTTAATTTGAACAAGGCTACTGTTGCATCTAATTTGAAAGCGACGATAGCAAATGATGTCGAGCAGAGGCCTCGCCTTCCTGCTCGAGGACAAGGGATGATAGCGATGATGTTTTAGACTTCAAGGAAGTTATGACCTTTCTGAATTCAAGTGACGGTAATTAATTTATATTTCTTTCCAGCAAATCTAAAAGTAATCTCTATACTCACATTATAATGCAATATGATACCTATGATATATTTGAATATGCTCACCACTTATCGAGGGCCTATTTGCCTAGGGTATGGACCCGTTTGATTCTCATTATTGTAGAATAAAGATGAAAAATATAATCATTATTGGACCCCATACAAGAGATAAAAATTCAAAATTGATGGCTTGATGTGATGGATAAAGATCATGTTTTCATTTCTATGGATAAAAAATGAGAAACAAACGGAGGCTATAGGTGTATTTAGCAAGAAACGAACTACCCAGAGGCTTACTTCGGTGCAAACCCATGATCGACGTCAAATATGTACTCCTCCACCTGTGATTTGAGCGGTTTCTTTCGCTGAAAGTCTCTCACCCGACGTTCAACGAACCGATTTGCAACAGTAATTGAAAGCTGCAGCATTTATATTTCGATTCTGTGCATAAAAAATTCAAATTTTGAAATGAGTTTTCTAAATTAGTTGGTTTTTGTTATGAGCACAGTTTCCTTCTGCATTTATCGAAAATGTATGCTCCTACAATAAGAGGTTTTAAAGATGAAGGTCCTAAATATGGTTAGTGTCCCTCTTTTGCATTTCGAAATCATGTTTTTAGTTCGATTCTTTACACGCTCTTGTTCGATTTTTGGTTTATTACGTGTATGCATGTACTGTTGGTTTTAACCTATTTCCAAATGGATATACGAATTACTTCACGATGTTCATTTTGATAATATGAATAATGTGAAGTACGAACACAGTGCGGTGATGTTCTTGGATTATGTGAGCCTGCTTATTTCAATAGGGATTGGTTTGAAGCATTTGAGTATGTACGTGGAGATTGTGGACCTCTAGACTTCTACTTTAGGATGCAGAAAGGTAGTTTGGAAAGTGCTTTGAGAAGATTGAGTAGTGAATCAGATGTGAGGGAGATGTTAAAAGACATTAAAGGACACAGATTGGTGGAGATTTATATGGTAATGCCTAACCAAACATATGCATTACCACATGCACCGTATCAAGTACAAGATGTTCCCGGGAGTAGCGCCCATAATGAAAGAGGTGAATGTAGTACTGAAGGATGATACGTCCCGGTGTTTGATGTCCGTGAAGGTGGTGCAATGGAGCATGATATTGGTGATTTTATAACTGAAAATGTAGATGAGGCGTGATCGCAATTTGAGGAAGATGCTGACATTGGTAATGCACAACCGGAACATGTTGAAAAAACAACGGAATTGGGTGATTGGGACACAAATTAACATAGTCATGATGAGAGAATGGACGAACCAATGGAAAGTTTTGTCGAGAGTCACTTAAAGATGGTGACACGGATTATAGGGATTCGAATGAATTACAAAATTTGGACATTGAAGAGGATGACGGAACAACCTCAAGGAAGAGGCGATGAACTGATAGCATTCAACCCTGGTACAGACATGGAGGAGCCAATTTTCAGAACAAGCAAGCACCTTGACCTTTTGATTATGTAGTGATGAACCCCTTGAATTTTAACATATGTTTGATACGCTCTCTGACCTTTACCATATGTTGTGTAATCCCCCTCCCATATAATCTGATTATGTCATGGAATACACTCGTAACCCGATGAGGAAAATGTGGATTACCCCTTAAGTTTTCAATTGTATGTCGACGATTTTTGTGTCTGAGACAAAAACCATTTTGAAAGCAGCAATGACCGAGCATTTTATCAAAGCAAATCGGGAAATCAAATACATTAAGGATGAAGGAGTCCGATTGCAGGTAGTATGTAAGAATAAATCATGTCCATGGGTATTATATGCAAGTAAAGAGAAAAGGTTAGCAAGCGTTGTTGTGAAGATGTATAGAGGTGATCACACTTGTGCAACGGTGTACCAAAATAAGAGGACCTTAAGCTACTTAGCCTCTAGATATTTGTTTGAATAGAAGACTGATCTTAACATGTCTTTGAACGGGTATCGATAAAGTTAAAAGGGACAATTTGGAGGATATTTCAAGGTGGCATTTTATCGAACCAAAGAAAAGGCAATGAAGATCTTATGGGTAGTGTGGTTGACCACTATGACGTTTAGTCGAATTATTGTTAGTATTTGAAGGCGACAAATATTGGGACGACCACCTAGTTGGAGGATTGAGGTGGGGAGTTTAGTAGAATATTCATTTGCTTAGGAGCATTGAAGGAAGTTTTTATGAGTGGATGTCGAAGGGTAATTAGGTTAGATGGTATTTTCTGAAAACTTAGTATGGAGGTCAATTGTTGACAGCTATAAGTGTGGATGGAAATAATTGGATGTAGCCTATAGCTTATGTTGTGGGTATTGAGAATGGAGAGAACTGAAAGTTGTTTCTGGAGCTGCTGAGGGATGATCTAAGGTTGGGTAACAGTTACTATTTGTTTTGGGTTTTGTGACACAAATTTTATGTGATTTAAAACTTTGTTGCATGAAGGAAGTCTAATGTACTTGGGTTTGTAGAGTCTTTAAGTTGTGGAGATCAAAATTACATCATGGATTGGAAGTTTGGCTTAGAAAAGGACTTTGAGATGAAGTAAAACACTTTGGAATGGAAAAGAAAAATAATAATATTTTTAACAAGCAGGCGCGGCACCGGCGCCCCAATAGTGGATTTTTCGCGCTTTTTGTTTTTATCCGGATTTTGGGACTTCTTCTTCATCTTGGACTCTACCTCTTCCACAACTTCAAGATTTGACTTCTATACATAATGCGCAAGGTACATGCACTTCGCAAGGGTGAAAAGGCAAGACTCAAGAAATATTATAACAATTAGATCATTGTTATATACATTAGAAATATGAGAAAATTGTTTAGATTAGATTGTGAGTATCAAAATCTGGTAAGAAAATTGTTTATTTCTTGGTATAATAAATTCTCCTCTACCACAATTTTCTTGATTGTTGTGTAATCTATTAAATTTCATGTTGCACATATTTTCTTCTTTAATTATTTGGCCAATTTCTCAACAAATGATATCAAAACGCTCTCGATATCAGGTTAGTTCATAGCAGTCGGATATTCATATCCAACAAACAAAAGGGACTGTTAAATTTTTGGCAGTAATAAAATTGAAATAGTTAGGGCTGTCATGGATTGGATTTTGATCCGAATCCGATGAAATTAATGGGAGATAGATTTAGGATCTTGGTCCGATAACTCGATCACGATTCGAATCCGATAATCATATTAATTAAATGGATCAAATATGTATATAAGTCAATCCGATCGGAATTGTTATAAATAATTGGATTGGTAAAATATTTTTATAACATGTTATTTGCGACTAAAATAAATAAATTTAGAATAAAAAAGTCATCAAATTCAAAACATAAAAAAGTTGAGAAATTTATAATTATTAAACTTGTTTGATAATTGAAAAAATTGAAAAAAAATAATAATAATAAACAAAAAAAAGTTGATTCCTTGATTTTTTTTCTAATTTCTTTAATTTCGGATCAGATATCTGATAACCTAGCAAAACGGATATGACTTTAACAATCAAATATCCATTGAATTATCCGATCGGATCGAATATAGGCAAATTCGATCCATATCTAATTCATTTACAGTCCTAGAAATAGTTCTTACCTGTGTTGCCTTTAAGCCTCCCAAAAATGAGAGGGGTTCTTACTTGTGATCAAGTTTAGATTTTCTTGGTCGGCAAGATTTATCTTCCTTCGCAGGCAAGCTTTCTGGGAGGCTACTTGCTCAGGTGACAAGTTCTCTTGGAGAGCAAGAAAAAGGTTTCTCTGGTGCAAGTTTCTTCTGTCGAAAAGGCATTTTTGCGACGTTCAAATAATAACACTCGCAAGAAATATAAGTTGGGGGGGACGTGTTTAGATCAGTGCTAACTTCTGATGTTCAAACCCTTTCTTGCCCACAAGAAGACTTGTTTGGACAAATTCACAAGTTGTTCGTTTAAAATCCATTAATACATCAAGTATGGAGCAAGTTAGAATGGAGTATTAATGACTCATTTATATTAATACTCTGGACCGTACAGATCATCTATGACAAGTAAAAGTTGGGGCATATGAATATTCAGACATGCGCTGCACTCGGCCCGCTTGTTTTCATTAGGCAGAAACAGTCTTTGGCTTGACTCCAATTTTTCTCCACGAAACACTAGGCATTATCTGTTTAGTGTCAACTCGATCCTTGTACTGGACAGCAAAGTTGAGTAACGAGTCGAGAAGAGAATCTGAGAGAAGGTGCGGTTTGAGTCCCAATTCAACAAGTTTCGTATGCTTGGCGTTATAGTAATGCTCCTCTGCCTCAACTCTAGGATTGGGAACGGATATGGTTCGCACTTGAAGGCCAAGTTTCTCTCCTGCCTTGGTAACGAGGGTGGCAAGTTGGTTGACCGAAAACTGCTCAGTAAATTGGTTAAAAACCCGGAATTCACCTTGCTGAGCCGGATTGGCGATAGCAAGCTCAACGCATTGAACTGTGTCTCTTATGTCCAAATACCCCCTCGTCTGTGTAAAACAATGAGAATGAGCAGAAAATATTGAGTGCTGATCTAGGCTTCCCATCCAATCTATTTGAAATAGTAATAGAACAAGTAAATTATCTTCGATATATATGATCACCAAAAATATCTGATAAGTGTTAACATATAATTGTGTGAATATTAAGTGCTCAGCTTGGATGCTTCATGCATTTGCAAGATGTAAGAGTGACGTAGTTTTATGCGCTTCCGAGCGGAGGGTTCCTTCTTGAATAGCATTAAAAGAGAATATATATTGAGCAGATAAAAAAGATTTCAACTTTAATATTGCCTCATCCCAAAATGATCTTTGAGCACAGAATAAATTTCTAATATCTGAATGCAAAGACGAGTTAACATGCAAATTCATTACCTGACCCCCTTTGCCATAGACTGTAAGTGGATGATCAACTGCAGCCTGAACACAGAAACGATTCAATGCAGTTCCAAATACTGCATCATAATCGAGCCTGTTACAGAGCTCTTCATGCATCGCTGTCTCATCCGTTCTCAGCCCATAGACCACTCCCTGATTTAGATCAGTGGCTCTGATTCCCCAAGCTTTGCAAGTAAACGCAATGTTGTGAGAATCATGGACCTTGCTAAGATGGTAAAAGGAGCTCGCTTGCTTGGGATAAGGTAAAGTATCTGTTCTGCCATTGTGTGTAATTGTTATGTAACCCTCCTCGATATCTATATTTGGAGTCCCATATTCGCCCATGGTACCGAGTTTTACAAGATGGCAGTCCTCTTTGAACTCCTTTATAGCAAAGAGAACATTAAGTGTCCCTATCACATTGTTCTGCTGGGTGAATACAGCTCTTGACCGATCGATCATGGAGTAGGGAGCTGACCTCTGTTCTCCGAAATGGACAACAGCATCGGGTTCGAATGACTTGACAGCCTCAGACAAGAACTCAAAGTCACATATGTCACCAATGTAGAGTTGAATGTCTTTACCGGATAAAGACTTCCAACGCCTGATCCGGTTATGGATAGACGAGATGGGGGTGAGAGAATCAAGACCAAGCTGGTGGTCAAAAAGGCGACGAACAAGGTTGTCAACAATGGCAACTTCATAATTTTTGTTGGACAGATGAAGGGAAGTGGCCCAACCACAGTATCCGTCACCACCAATTACCATGACCTTCTTTGGAGTGGAAGCTTCACTTGAACTACGGTAAGAACCAGTACCAGGTTCAGTTTTGGCTTCTTGACTCATGGAAACAGCTGCTGCATATATGATACAGCGTCTTTGTGACTTTTTTCCATGGATAGAAAGCCTTTTCAATGGCAGGCGAGAAATAGGCAAACTAAGAGATGAAGAGAATGAAATTGACCCTTGGTTTGATGGTTTGTAGTATGACCTGCTGCTGGAAGCAATATCTAAAGGACATGAGGTAGAAAGCAAATGTGACATCATTCTACTAACTGCACCACTAATTGTGCAAAATACCTGCAATAGCAATAAATAAATTAGCACATTATTATTAGCATTAAAGGAGTCGAGATTTTTTGGGCAGGCACATTGGACATAAGATGCAAAGAAATAGATGCATCGCTTAAGCAAAGAATAAATGGCAAATTAGCAAAGAATGATGTTTCTACAACTACAATGAATAATAACTATAGAAATCGACATCAATTAGCATTATTCTCATGCAGGAATTCAAGTTACAACATTGTAAACCTACAGAAGATAAGGAAATTCATCAATAATATGGTACTATTTCTCAGCGGAGACATCAACCAACAAACACTTAACAATGTAATGTCTACAAATCATATTGCTCAAATGCCATTATCTCTCTGCACAGTTATCACATTACAAGCCACTTAGTATACACCCCATCCTAGATATCTATCTATAACAAAAGTTAAACTGATGCTTCAAATTGAAACGAATCCACACCAATGCTTAAATATGCCCAACACTTATGTTATACAAAAATGAGGTAGCTTAGTCACAAATGCATCTGATACTACTTTTAATCTCTTATCAATTTATTTATTTTTTATCTTTTGTATTTACTGTTAATTATATCATACAGTCACACATTTCTGCCTAGAAGAACAGGATTTAATTACTAGTTCTTCCTCAACGGCGGCCATAGTCCTATCAAATCCTCACAGACACATGTGATCAACGTTTCGCGGTGTTTTAAATGCGTCAGAGGCTAATGCATTCGAAGCAAGCCTTCATTAGGAGCCTCAAAACTTACACTTTGAATGTCCATTGTTAAGGCTTATGCCTTGGCATACTAAGGCACATTCCTCAAGGCAGTTGAGAGATTTGCCCCTCAATCTTGCTATTATTGAGCTGTTGCTTTACTAGTCTCAGCTTTTGGACTGGTTTTTATAGACCAGACTGTATTAAGGTTGGAGTTGCAATACAGTCCAAGCCTAAAAGCTAAAAAGTGAAGAGCAAGTAAATGCCTTGAAGTTGCAAATTTCCAACGGCAGATAACCAATTACAGGAGACCTGCAACAAGTAACTTCACTCTGTCCATTTCTTTTTATTTTTCTTGTTGTCTCTATGTTTTAGATCCTACGATTTTTCTTTCCTTTTAAGGTCAAAACAAGTATCAAGTAAAAAACATAAAAATCACGACAAAATCAAAATACTTAAAGAACCCGAACCCGTCCCCAAAGGAGATCCCACACCACAGAATGAGCTGGCCAAAAATAAGAGCCTCGAAAACAAACACCCTGAACACTGTAAATTCTAGGTAACCAAGGCTTCAAACTCCAGACCACCCAGCACTTCCACGAGCTGGCTGTAAATCAAGTTAGAGCTGCCCCAACAACGTACAGTAACAAAACTGTTGTCAACACCCAGAATATCTTGAATTGGATACACTAAGGACGGGACTGGGGCTACTACACTCCGGGCAAGACCGGACAGAGAGTGGCGGCGGAAACGGGCTACGGCGGCGGAGACTGTAGCTCGCGAAAATAGAGGCGACGGAAACGGGAAAGGTGATTGCTGCTCGCGACGGAAAAGAGGACGATAGCGCGACTGCAGTTCACGGAATCGACTGTTGCTCGCGACGGAAAAGGAGGACGACAGCACGACTGCAGTTCGCGAAATCCTCGCTGACCGGCGGCCGAATGTGATAGCTGAGGCGGCGACTGCTACTCGGAACCCTAGCGCCGACGACCGGTGAGAATGAGCCCAAGATTGTTGAGATTTGCACGAGCCGATGGTGGCTCTGATACCATGAAGTCGACTATTAAGGAGAAAAATATATTTTTCAATTTACTCTATTAGGTTTTACATGTATATATACAAGTCACTTATATTATTTATAGGACCCTATAAATAAGATTCTATCAATTAGGGTTAAGTAATTTACTTCCTATANATTTTTCTTTCCTTTTAAGGTCAAAGCAAGAAAAAATTCTTGAATAGGTGATTAGTTGTTTTGTTTGTTTTATACATGTAGCTGTAGTTGTGGATGTTAGCATTTCTTTTCTTTGATTGCAGCATCTGGGAGGATGGATGTCACTTACAGGAAATTGTGAGACTCAATCTAGCCTAGCCCAATATCTTCCCGACGAGTGAGGTTTTGGATAGGTGGCTCGTGGTAAAATTAATGGTTCCAATAACGAACTGAAACCAAATCATGATAGCCCAAACTATGTGGAATACAATTAGTTGCACAACTCTTTCAAGTTTCAATGCAATCCTCGAATTCAAGACTCTAGTGGCTCTCAAAATACATATTTTTCTTCTACCATGAACTTGGATAATGCTTATGTGGAGGATTTATCACATGAATTCCAAATTAGCCATTTATACAATACAATATCCCAGATTTATCTAAATTTCAAGGGTCTGATGGGAATGATAAGGAGTCTAATCAAGAGAATTTGATTGATTGGTTGCTTAGAAGCCAAAAGAAGTCACTGACGAGATTATGGACGAAGGAGGTTTGTTCTAGCTGGGTACCAAATTTCTGACACTTGTTGATTAAAATGGTTGGACAACCTTATACAGAAAGCACTTAAGAAGAGTTTAAGCAAGTTAATCAACTATCCAGGTTTTCTCGTAGAATGTACACGAGTTCTCTTCACCTAGAATGAATTAAATACTTGAGCAAAATTTAATTTTTCTCGCAACTCTTTCTTGGACTAGCATTTGTATACTTATGAGACTTGACAGCCTGTGTGTATTTCACAGTCGGACTTACAAGGCATGGCTGAGCCAAATTTCAAATTCAACAATTCCAAGGCAGTCTTTCTTAATTTATCAAGTCCACCAAGTTTCTGTGATTCTCAAATAATTTCAAGCACAATGAAGCATACGACAAAAAATATGGCAAATTAAGTTTACAAGCAAATACAGGTCAAAAAACACAGATCGCATTACAGAACCAGAAAACATTACATAAAATTCAATTGCTGAAGAACCCAATAGATATATAAATTCAACAAGCTATCTTCTTTCTCTTATCATTACTAGAATCAACAGAAAACGTTTAACATCGAAATAAAACACAACCGATAAAGGAAACAAAAGGGTCAACGAAATTGATGGAGAACAGATATCTTACCCAGAGAGAATTATAAAATCAGGGGCCTCGCAGTGGATATGGAACTGGGACCGGGGGGGTCGACGAGTAGTCTTCAAGGTTATGCTTGTGTACTTGTTTGAGCTTGTATCTGGGTTTGTATAGCAGGGAGCATCAAGTGAGAGTGAAATGGATATGCTTGATAGTTCCGTAAATTGCAGGTTTAGCCCCAGAACATTTTCAAGTTATGTTGATTGCTCCCTGAATTCTAGAATTTGTTCTCATTTCTATTTTGAGATTAGTAATTTTTATTTATATCAAACCCCACGAATGAAAATTATAGAGAGCTTCTCTCATCTTAAGTTAGATGTCTAAGAACATGTTTCGAATAGCTTATCTTAAACCCAAACAAATATTGTTAGGATAGTCAAACTAGCTCTCATACGAGCTACGGACGGTTCAATTATCTGATCGTAATTTTCACTTGCAAAATTTAAATTGACGGTCCTTTATTTTTGTTTCATTTTATATTCGGGGAGAGATAATTAGGTTAATCGAGAAATTTAAAAAAATGTAAAAAAAAAAAGTAAATAAAAAATCTGGCATAATTGTTCCTTCACGACCTTCCAGAATAATTGATAGTATTTATTTATTTATTTCTCTTTTGGTATTGATCAAAAATTTCATTTTAGGGCGTGTTTGATACGCCTTATTTTCCCGGCAACTCGGAAAATATTTTCCACTTTCCACTTTTTTGACTGTTTGATAGACGAAATTTTCCACGGAAAATATTTTCCGGGTTTAGCTCACACGTGTGCA